AGTTTAAAATCAGTTTTCGATAGAGCTCGCTTTGGTCTATCTACCATGAGTATTGGATGTCTAGATCATGTTCGCCCAAGGAGGGAAGTGCGTCAGAAATTTTACATGAAAAACCGAGATTTCTTCAAAACAATTCAATTTTTTTTGATTAAAGTTTCGGGATAAATAGTCCATATGAGGATACATCTTTCATGAAAATTTTGTTGAAAGAGATTGCATGATTCAGGAGAAAAGTGGATTTTATTGATTTTCCACAAAGCTTGATCTCCATAAAGCGACACCTATAACTCGGGAAGGAAATACTTTTAGAGCGCCATCTGTTAGCTGTAAGCTAGTCTATATTGGTTCTATATATATGGTAAAAATTACAACCCGATCGATGGTATCAAGTATCTGACCGTATCGTACACTGTCGGTTTTTCTCAGACAATGACTTTTAAGTATATTAGCAAACATTGTGATGCAACTTATTTTCTTTTTTTATTGTATCGAAAAAATGAAAAAATACCTCCGCATTTATTTAATGTAGAAACACCAACATAAGCAGCGCTTTAATATATTGGTAAAATTTCTAAATAATAATCAATAATCAAAAATAGATGTATTATGGGCTCTTGCAACGATAGAATTGAACCATTGGATGTTGTATATTGTTCAGATATACCTAATCCTGATCATCTTGAGCTTGTGTGGCTTGATTATAATGAAAATCTGGATGTTGAGAAAAAATTACGATCATTTATTAATTGTTTAAAGACATTTAAGGATTTAACAGAATGCGAGCGATACATTAGAGAAATTATATCACCACAACAATGTATTTTGATTGTTTCGGGTGGTCTCGGAAAACAAATTGTACCTAACCTAAAGGGATTAAAACAAGTAACTTCAGTTTACGTATTTTGTATGGATTGTGAGAAGAATAGACAATGGTCAAAAAATTATGACAAGGTAAGGTATTCTTTTTAGCTCTATTACGAATATTTCTCAGAAAGTAATACAGTGAAAGTAAATAGAACAAATAAACACCTATCATTCTTCCGTCAAGCTAGCAATTCTTTGCTTTAACAGTGAATTTCTTTCACGCTTTATTGGTCTGTTTAACACATTGTGGGTAAAAGGTGTCTTCAGTAAATCAGATGAACTTGTTAAACAAATGTTAAAAGATTTCGAAAAACTGTTGAGAAAACTCAAGATACTTTACCAACAAGCATTTATAATCCGAAATGTGAAAATACAGGGAAAAATCTTAAATCCGAGAATGCTGATTTTATGTGGAAGCAATTATTTATTGGAGTTTTATTGCGTATGGGTACGAACGCCTCAACTATAGCCAAAAGTGAGCTTGTTGGCGAATGGAAAGAAATGTGTGAATCAAAATTGATCTTAAATGACCCTAATAGCGAAGCGAAATACAAGAAAGAAATGTGTGTGGTTGATGACTTTATTAACTATAAAGAGCACACACCGATTTTCTGGTATAGGGACCGTATACAATGACGACGACCACTTTTCTCTCCCTTCCTCCTCCATTTTAACGTCTTGAGATCTTTTCATTTTCCAAAAGAACAACGAAAGCATTGTTCCACTTTTCAGGGCCCATATCTTAAACATCCGCTGCGGGGCACTTTTTTTTTCCACCAAAATGTATAGTATTTGCGATGCTCTTTCGCTTGAAATCGCTCACGAGAATTTATCTTGGGAAATAGACCCAGAAGAACCGTTACAGGTTAGATGAAATCCGCTGGGAAAACCAGAAAATTGCACTTTTCCTTCTGGAATAGTAAAGTTCTCATAATTTATTACGCGTATTAATCTTGTAAAGTGTAGTATGCTTCAATTGGTTTTAGCAAGCTTTTAACATAAATTTCGACAGAGTTACGAATCTTCTAAGTTTTACTTTTGATCAAAATATCGAAATCGATACTAGAATTTTTCCACGAAAACTAATATAACAGAAACGTTTTTGATAAATAATACTTTTATTAAAAACGTTTCTGCTATATTAACTTTCGTGGAGAAGTTCTAATTTGACATATATTTACTGTAAAGTGGGCATGCAAAAGGTAGGAGTAAAAAGGTTCGACAAAACTCTTACACGGAAGATTAGAAACAAAGTATTCTCTTACTCTCAAAGATTTTCGGAAAATCTGTTAAAAACCGAAGTTCTTTTCATAGCGATTGAGCACCAATTTTCTACTCTTAAGGATACACTGTGATAACGGTTAGAAAATCTTGCTGGGAATTGCATCATATTATTTTCCTTAGCAAATTTCTTTGTAGATCTGGCGGTTGGGGGATATTTTTAAGACCTTTAGAAAAAGTCGAGACGTGAATCACAACATAAGATCGCTGGCTATTCGTGTCATTAACACGGTAGATTATATGTAAAAGTTTTGGTTTTCCACGCTTTTTTATTTACTACCACACTTGTAGGGGCCAACAATATTATGCTTTAATTTGGAAGGCCGCGTTGTTGCTACAACATATTAACTGTCATTGGAAGGATCAGGATGACTTAAAAATAATTGTTCTTTTATCGAAAAGGCTCCGATCAATTTTAATAAAATTTCTTCTTATTTGTTTTAGGTAAACAGTATTACGAATAGAAAGAAAAGAGAATTAAATCAATTTACTTTCAAGTGTAATCAAAATCATGATCGGCATGAAGAAGATCGGTGTGAGGTGAATTTTTTTTTAAATGTAATGCAGGGAATCTGTAGTTCTGAAGTATACCGAAAAGAACGAACTACTATGGTGGCGAAAATCATTTGGACGATCAGTGTTTACTCATAATTCTATGACCAAGGTGCTTTTTAAATGATGAAACTAACAGGAGATTGCACATCGAAAACCGCGTTTAGTGATGTGACACTCGAAGTTTAGGAAAACTTTTCGTTTCGTAAAAACTTTGCTTGTCATAAACGGGTTGGTTCCGCAGTCGGGTGTTTAGTGTCTATCGCAAAAACAGCATCTTCATACGTTAATTTTAGGTGGAGGAAGAAGTTGTGCTAAACTACGAGTGACACATGACTTGAGTGACACAATAAGTTTATACGAACAAAACATGTATATTTCAATGGCAGACACCCTCGACAGAGCTAGACACGGTAAAAATAGAAAATGTTTCGGCCACACAAAAGCTGACGCTCCTATGTTTATATCTGAACTAAATATTGTACTCGTGTCAGGTCTCATCCCAGCTCTTTGAGATGGCTATCTATTTGTTTTTGAACACCTTTATGGACTACTCGACTAAACTACATTGGGGCTTAGTTCCTAACCAACTTTGAGGATTAAGGTGCTTATGCTTTCGGAACAAGTAGGTTTGTGACATCAAGAATTTATCTGAATTATTTAATTTTGCTTAAAAATGCATTTTGCTGAATCATATTTCTTCATAGTTCTATGGCTTAATCAACTATTTTATTAATTGAGATTCTTTTTACGTTGTACACGAGAGGTCTTCATATTGCGACACATAACAGAGCTGGTTTCAAGCTAAGGAAACAGACATTTAACGTTTATTCTATTGGAATTTTTTCTTTTAAATGAACAAAGTATGTTGGAAGAAGAAAATGAGTGTGACTCACAAATTCATCTCTTGATGATTTTTTGTAACATGTAATGCAGCAAATCTGTTGTTCTGAAGTATACCGAAAAGAACGAACTATACTAAATGCTCTTTCAGTGGGTGTGTAGCAATATCGTTTGGACTAGTTTTATGTCTTTTGTGTGGGGTCATTCGTCTATCGACGGAAAGTTCTTTGAACTCATATCTTGGAAATCAAAAGTTCTCTTATATCTCCAGTCCGTGATTCGAAACATATTATGCTAATTTTAGTGATGTTGATTTATAAAGCATTAGGGAAGCCGTCAAAATTCGCATCGGTGAATTTATTCACCGGTGAATATTTTCACCGGTAATTTGATTGGAAACAAAATTGAGAACAGTATTATTCAATATGCCTGAGAAAAAGAATATGGAACTATCGTATAACAGAATGACGATGTATGTATATATTCTTTTCTGTACTATACTT